GCAAAATTACATACACTTTCCTATGATTTGAGACTTTACAAAAGTGTGGCAAAAATATAAAGGCACAAAATAAACTTTTAGTCTTCCTCATGCATGTAGGAGGTCAGCATCCACCACTTCTTTTCCCGACCCTAAAAAATGTTAAATAAAGGGGTGAGCATGAAGCTCAGTAGGTAGTACCTAAGACGCACCTCTTGTGACCCCGTGAATCCAAACAAAGAATAGAACAACAAGAAATGGGATCATACTAAGTCGGGAGAATACAACATCAATTCAAAGTTCCATCCTAACGATTTTCCATGCCATGAATGCAATGCTATGCATGTTACTCCCCATTTCCAATTCATTTCACAAACTTCACTTTTCAATCCATTAATGTAACTCGTCCCTCGGTACCCCCTTGGCGACACGAGAGAAGGATTGGCCACTATCCCTGACCCTTGGTAACCCCGCGGCGTCATTTTGGGCCCAGTTGGCTCAACCACGCTAGGGAGATCTCCCTAGTTCCCTCTAGGCTACATTAACACCACGGACCCTCGATACCCCCTCGGCGTCCGGGTTTTCACAAAAATCCATTTCTCAAACATTTTTCCCAAAAACCCACTTTTCATTCATTTCAAAGCGCTTCCCTTCCTTCATGCCTAATGACATGCATGTGTCTCATGCCTTCAATACTATGGAAATGAGATATTTTCACACTATACAATTAGGCATTCATTACCAAAAATCCAAGTAAGACATGCATGTATACATATGTCATCTCTAGCAATTTTCACAACATAATAGACATAAAAAAATCAACACATAAGCATGCTTTTCATATAAATCAACAATTACACATAATTGCAAGCCTCGTATACAATTAAAAATCATTTAAGAGGTAATTAACTTCAATTAAGCATATTGGCATCAAATAACAAGAATTGACTCACAAAAGAATAAGAAAATGCAAATTAGAGACCCCTACCTCAAGACAAGCCAAAAACCCCAATTTGTGCCCTAGATTTCGAAAACCAAGGAGTGCACCAAACAAGAAATTGCTCCGATCAATTTAAAGATCTCGTCGTGGGCTTCAATTCGCCGCAAACGGCACTCAAAATTACTAAGAAATGAGGAAGAGATCAAGATCTAAAGACTTATGGCCAAAAGAAAAAGAAAAATCAAGAGAAAGGGGATGAGAGAGAGAGAGAGAGTGACGGGAGTGAGAGAAAGATAAGACCATATATGATCTCTAATCTATGAAGTACGGACACAGACACAAGACACGGGTACAACATGACACGGATACGGCGATATGGCAAATCTAAAAAAAATAGGACACGGACAGGACAAGGATACAGCAATAAAATAATAATATAATTTATTTTTATATAAATAAAATTAAATTTTTTTCAATTTGTTTTATCTATATTATTAAACATGATATTTAAGTCCTACTATTTTTATTAAAAATAAAATAAAGATGTACAAGCCCAAATGAATAAGAACGTCTTTCTATTCCGAAATAATCCAAAGCAATTCTTGTGACCAAACAACCACTAAAAGGGATAAGATTTGTATCTGACACTTCTATCCTTTTCCATATTTATCTCTCTTTCATTGACACGTCTGTTCATTTTGAAAGGTCTTCTTTTCCGGCTCTTTCCCGTACTTTTCCTCACCAAGACCTCACTGAATTAGCACAGGCCCTTAATCGACTCATCGAATGAAATCAAGGCAAACAACTCCGAACGATCTGAGCCAAGATTTCATTCTGTGTATGTATATATGGTAGTATTGTATCATTTTACAATTTATACAATGACTTGTATGTTAACTCTGATCTCTCTCCATATTCTTTTTCTTGTGTGTATTATATGTATATACTGGATATATACTCTATATACATCGTCTCGTTCTCTATGTTATGAAAAAAAAAAAAAAAAAATCTAATCAACAGGCCATCGTATCTTCAGCCGTGTCCCAGCGTGTCCACAGCTGTGTCCGTTGCAATTTTTAATAATAAAAAATTGCGACACGGATTTAAGGTGTCGGACACGTGTCCGAGTCTCGGATACGCGTGTCCGTGTCCGACACGTGTCGGACACTGGTACCTTAGGCTAAACACACGTGTCGGTGCTTCTTAGTCTCTAATTCATCTTATAAAGGCTAAGGTGGGTCCCAGTTATTTTCTTTTTATTTTTCCCTTTTTCTTTTGTATCTTTTTACACCACCTAAAGCATTTATGTACACATATTAAATCACAACCACATACTACACATTAACTAAAATAAACATGATGCAAATGGATCCAACTAAAATCCCCGTACTCAACAATTCCTGTAGCGGGTCCTACCCGAGTCTGTCCAGTCCGAAAACAAAAATGAAAAATGCTGAAAATTGAAAACATCACAGAACCCGAGCTGTTCATGAACAGCTCGGTTCATTTGCAGCCCTAACCATGAGTAGTCATATCATTACCAAGAAGAGATTAATGCATTTTCTTAACTATAGGAGGGAGGCCTTGGGGCTCAATTATGTGGTTTGTTTATTATGTACGATCTTTTGTCCGTGAGCAATCAGTGGTGGCAGGTTTGCAAGGGTTGAGTAGGTGAAAATTTTAAAGTATTATTTATTTATTTACTTAACGTTTGTTATTTATTGAATGTAATTTAATATTTTTTACAATATACCAGAGACAAATTTTTTTTTATTCCTCTGATCATAACGTTGCGATACGAGCAACTTTCACCATTATATGGAGAAAGATTTTTAGGCTTTATTTGAATTGAATGATTTAGAGGGATTTGAAAAGAAAAGAAAGGTTGTGTTTGGATTGAATGATTTGAAGAAAAAAGAAAATATTGTGAGAGATTTGGAGAGTTATTATCCCTCCAATTTCTCATATGTTATCTTCTCAACAATAAAAAGATTTGAAGAGGAGTGATGGCTTTAATTATACTTTTATAATTCTAAAACTACCCTCAATAATTAAAAGAATAAACTTGTTATGACACTTGAGTTCTATCTTATAAAAATGTATGATAATAATTTAGTTATTCTCATTTAATTTCTTTTCTCTTTTCTATCTTTTCCCAAACACGAAGACTATTATTATTTTTTTCTTCATACTTTATTCGAACATGAATAAATATTAATACTATTTTTTTTTTCTTTCATGGCTAGTGTTATTATTATTTTTTTCATGTTTGATATATTTACTTAGCGTATGATAGTATCTAACTTTAAAGGGTTTACTCCTATCTAATGTTTAATTTAAGCATAATTTAATTTATAACTTATTTTATTTAATTCAAATTTAAAAAGTTTAGGTGCAAATTGAATTTGATTGTAGAATTAAGTTTAATCAAAATTGGGTTGAAACTTGAAAGGGAGTCTAGTCTCAACCAAACCCTATTACACACCAGCAACATAACACCATAATTAAAGGCTGATGGTGGGCTCCATTCTTTGGACCATTTAGATCAGAAAGTGTGAGATGAAAAAGAATCCAAAAGTCACTTTTAGAACCCACAAACAAAATATATATATATATATATATATATATAATAATAATAATAATAATAATAATAATAATAATAATAGTAATCCGCAGTAGCTAATGGCAGAATGTGTTTTGTCTTGTGCTTTCCACCTACGAAATTCTCTCAACAACCTTTTTTCTTTTTTCTCTTTTTTTTTTTTTTTTTTTTTTTTTTTTTTACATCTAGTGTGAAATTTTTTCACTTTTAATGGTAAAATTTCACTTATTTTTATTTGTCTATAAAAAAAATAATAATAATAAAGTGAACTTCTATTAAAAAAATAAAAATAAATTTTATCACTTAAATTTTTTAAAATAACGAAGTTTATGATGTTGAAAACTTGAAATCCATAAAAATGGTTAAATTCACCAAATTATGCAAAATATTGAAATAAATATGATAAAATTGCACTAAAAATAACCTCGAAAAAGTGTTCCTTAGAGTAATTGCTAAGAAAAGAAAGAACCAAAATTTCGTGGGTGGGAATATAGCTTGGTGGTCCCACCAGCCCATTAGTCATGTTTTAAAAAAGCTACTTTAATCAGTATATTGGCCTCCAACCTCTCATTTTGCATCTCTTTGTTTTCTAAAGTGAGAACATCGATCGATGAAAAAAGTCATAAAGTTCATAATAATAGAGGATGACTTACACCAATGGGCATCTTCTTTGCAACTACCAGGAGCAGTGATAGCATCACCTGGATGGACTTGCTACTGCTAGCTAGGTAACTCATATATTATGATTGGATAAATACATAGCTTATTGATTGGTGGTGATATAGCTAGGTCCTCCACAGGTGACAGCTTATTTTATTCACTTGTTTATTCTCTTATTATTAGACCCCCATGTCCCAAACCTGGGTAGCCATTCAAAGTAGAATGCACGCCTCTAAGAAAATTTAGTCCTTCCATCTTTTTCCAATATGCCTGAAAGAGGAAGTGAACAAAGTACAAGCAGCCAAATAGGCCCCACTGCACATGCAAATGGGTCCCGGTACTACCATGCGCAACTCTTCCACGCAGACTTATTATTCCACCACTTATCTGTCCATACAAGCAATTAGACAATATTATCACTGCTTCCTTCCAGCATATACCATCTTGGTTCATTGAGATCGATCTTTTGCATTTTGAAACCATAATCAACTCTCTTTGCTCAGTAACTAACAATGGCAGAGACAATTGTTGAAATTGTGCTGGAGCGTTTGGTTTCTTTCGTAGAGGGGGAGATTGGATTGATATGCGGTGTTGGTAAGGAGATGAAAAAGCTTTCCAGCAAGCTCACTACAATCAAGGCAGTTCTTGAAGATGCTGAGCAGAAGCAACTCCAAAACAAGGCGATTAAGATTTGGTTGCGGAAGCTCAAACTAGCAGTTTATGAAATAGATGACGTCTTGGATGAGAGCGCAACCAAAGCCGCGCAATTGGAATTTAAGCGCCATAATTCTGGATCTCTTAATAAGGTATGTGCTTGCTTCTTATCTTGTTATTCTATTCCCGACAATTTTCTATTTCGTCATAGGATTGGAAATAAAATGAAAGAGATTAACGAGAACTTGGATGCAATTGCTAATGAGCGGACGCAATTTCATTTGCAAGAGGTGGTTGTGGTGAATAGAGTTGAAATTTCTGAATGGCGCGAGACCAACTCCTTTTTAAATAAAGGAGATGTAGTGTATGGAAGGGAAAAGGACAAAGAAAGTATCATCGAACAGCTGGTGATGCATGCAAGTGAGTGTCAGGGTGTTTCCGTCCTTCCTATACCTGGTATTGGAGGGCTCGGAAAGACCACGCTTGCTCAACTAGTGTTCAATGATGAGAGGGTAATTCAGCATTTTGAGCCAAGAATTTGGGTTTGTGTTTCAGAAGATTTTGAAGTGAAGAGGGTCATAGAAGCAGTTATAGGGCCATCTTGTGGAGGCTCAAACTTACAACATCTTCAAACACAACTTCAAGATAAGTTGAATGGGAAAAGATATTTGCTTGTTTTGGACGATGTGTGGAATGAAAATCAGGAAAAGTGGGACAAGTTAAAATCCATACTGTCCTATGGATCAAAGGGTGCTTTAGTTATTACCACTACCCGTCTCGAAAAAGTGGCATCAATTATGAGAACGCTCCCTACACATCAGTTGTCGGGTTTATCAAAAGAGGATTGTTGGTCATTGTTCAAGCAGGGAGCATTTCAAGTCAATAATGAAACTCCAAATCTTGTGGTAATTGGGAAGGAGATCGTGAAGAAGTGTGGGGGGGTGCCTTTAGCTGCAAAGGCTTTAGGAAGATTAATGCACTTCAAAATTGAAGAAAGTGAGTGGCTACGTGTTAAAGAAAGTGAAATTTGGAATTTACCACAAGATGATGAGAGGTATATAATGCTTGCATTAAGATTGAGTTATCATAACCTTCCATCGAAGTATAGGCAGTGTTTTGCCTACTGTGCCATATTTGAAAAGGATTCCAAAATTGACAAGAATCGTGTAATTCATTTATGGATAGCTAATGGTTTCATTTTGTCTAATGGGACAAAGCAATTGGAGGATACTGCTAACCAGATATGGAATGAATTGTATTGGAGATCTTTCTTCCAAGAGGTGGAGAATGATGATTTTGGCAATGTTGAAAGTTTCAAGATGCATGATCTTGTTCATGATCTTGCTCAATCAATTATGGAAGTGTTTGGCTCACAAAGTGGTCTGAGGTCGCTAGCCAATGAACGGCTGACCTAGAACGCGGGCGTGCCAGAGTCCTGATGAACTCGAATATTTCTTGCCAAACTATTCCTATCGGGTCGGGTCACCGACCTAAGGTGATTCAGGCGAAAGTTGGAGAGTAGGAATGACCCTCTCCTTAAGGTTGCTATTGCCTTTAAGAAAGGACTTTAAACACTCAAGATAAACATGAATTAAAAGTAACTTAAATGGACAATAAATATACCTGAATCTGCAAACCTTTCTTCATTAAACTTGACTGATTACAATTATTAATGAATTACAAACTCTTGATTGAGATGGAAACTAAAGCATTAAATGCTGGAAGATGAACTAAGTACTAAACTGATAATGTTAAGCTAAACTTGCTGAAATAAAAGCTAAGTGCTAAACTGAGCTTGATGAAATAAAAGCTAAGTGCTAAATGATAGGAAAGCTAGAGGTTGAACTTTAGAAATGGTCTTGGACCTCTACCTTGTGATGCTTGAGTGGGTATTTATAGAGGCTTCCACCTGGTGTTGTCCCTTTCAACCGTTTCTCTAGAAATTGATTGGTTGTAAGCTGAAAGTGACTTTTCCTAACCACCAGCTGGAAAGGTTGACTAACTTGCACATCCCTTTATAGGCAGATACAAGTATGTCTGACATAGTATTTTTGACTAAATGGTGCCTATTCTTTCATGCTTGATGATTTTGGTCTTCAAGCCATTTTCAGCTCTCTGCACCTGTCATGTCTAGCTTGATTTGTACATTAGCCTGGAGTCATCTGATTACTGACAATCCTGACTTTCCTCATCAGATGTTGGTGAGAACCTTCCATCTGTGATTCTGAACTTCTGACATTGTCAAGTTGTCCTTTTCTATTTCAAGCTTTCCTTAAACTTCTAGACCTGACTTGTTGGGTTCTTGAAACATTGGGATTCACAATCGGTCTTTATTTGAATTACCCCAAAGATTCCTCAAGTGATTATGACCCGAGACCCCTGATCATGACCATATTTGGTCATAAGTCTTGATCATGGCCATAGTGACTAGAAATCTTGGTTAAGATTCATAATCATGACCATTATAACTGAGGGTCTCCTGACCATGACCGTTGTGATTGAGAAAGTTGTGACTGAGAGTATTTTGGCCTAAAACTTATGATCATGACCATTGAGACTTGGAGTCATAACCATAGTGATCGAGAAGGGTTTTGGCCTAAAACTCATGATCATGACCATAGTGACTGAGAAGGTTTTGGCCTAAGACTCATGATCATGACCATTGAGACTGGGAGTCATAACCATAGTGACTGAGAAGATTTTGGCCTAAAACTTACGACCATGAGACTGAGACTCTCATGACCAAGATGACTGAGAAGGTTTTGGCCTAAGACTCATGATCATGATGACTGAGACTCTCATGACCAGGATGACTGAGAAGGTTTTGGCCTAAGACTCATGATCATGACCATTGAGACTGGGAGTCATAGCTATAGTGACTGAGAAGATTTTGGCCTAAAACTTACGACCATGAGACTGAGACTCTCATGACCAAGATAACTGAGAAGGTTTTGGCCTAAGACTCATGATCATGACCATTGAGACTGGGAGTCATAGCCATAGTGACTGAGAAGATTTTGGCCTAAAACTTACGACCATGAGACTGAGATTCTCATGACCAAGATGACTGAGAAGGTTTTGGCCTAAGACTCATGATCATGACCATTGAGACTGGGAGTCATAACCATAGTGACTGAGACTCTCAATCATGGCCGGGTATGAGCTCAAAACCTCATATCAGTCTTAATGGTCTAAAAATTCCACTCTTCTCCATTCTCAGCCTTAAATCGGATCGCCATGATTAGAAATTAATCTTTCGCCCTGATGACCATGGGTTGACCCAAAGTTCAGACTTCATGATTTCTGACCACGTGGCATGATTGCTTCGAATTATATTTTAGGTGTTAACAACTGCCCCCCAACTCTATGAAAATGGGTTCATACCAAATTTTTGTAGAGTTGTATTTATTTTGGCCAGTTTTTATGTTCAGCCTGGGACCAGTCAAGGCCAATTTTTTGCCTTCAATGTATGGATAACCAAAACCATTTATTAACTAGAAGAGAACTATGTATCATCTCTTTACCATGGCCATTTGTACCTTGGCCATTTTGAAGCTTCCAACTTGCTCAAGCTTCAAAAGAAACAAACACACCGAAACTGAACATAACAGCAGCTAAAGAACATTCTTAGAGAGAGAACTAAAGGAAACCATTCAAAACAAATAGCACCATAAAATCACATGATGTTGTAGTGTTGCACCTTTTAACAGCCCCCAATCCCTAATGAAATTAAAATCTGATACATACATATGTATACGTATATGTATACATATATACATATATATATATACCAGGTTCCATGTTTTGACCATAGATTCCAGGTTTATTTCATAGTACTGGAGATGGTGTTCCCACCTTTGTCCATCATTCATACCCAACAATTTTGGGTTTCGGGTGGGCTTCAAAACTGACTCATGTGAGTGTCGGGACCTCGTCAAGCCCAAGCAACAACGAACACACACACATATATATATGTATATATATGACGGCTGTGAGCTTCTGCAAACTGCATGGTAGACTCTACCAGCGATGGGCCTGTGATTTACGAACCTTCGTATCGCAAAGCGCTGCAATGAGTTTGCCCAAGAACTGCGTCGGCCGTAGAGAGATTGTCGCATCGATTATCTTCTTCATGAAGTCACCGCTGCTGAACCTATCACCGTGGATAGATTCGCCACCGGAGAAAAACATGCAGGTCTCCATGCAAGCACAATGTTGTCACCTTCACCGTCATCGCCCATCTTTTGTTACAATAACTACAACAGCCACCTTTGTTGTCATCAAACCTGCAAATGGCGATAATCACGTTCAAACCATTTCCAAACTTCCTGTCTGGCTCCTCGCGGTTTTGGGTTTCAGTGAGCTTCAACCCGTTTGCTTAACCGAATCTGCTATGGACCAAGAATCTTGATCACGAAGGTTCATATATATATATATATATATATATATATATATATATACATATTTATATGTGTGTATATATATACATTTAACAACTACTTTGAGATGACAAATGAGTAATCCAACGCTGTCACCTTCGTCAACATGCAACCCAAATTGGTTCAACGACCTCCTTCATCGTGTAAAGTCGGCTCGTTTTTCGTCGGCGATGCCACCGCGGGCTACTTTGTTTTCTTCATGCAGTTACGTGCCGCCGAAACCATCGCCTAGATGGACTCGCCGCTGGAAAAAGCATGCTCCATTGCAAGCACAAACCGTTATTCTCTTCGACGGATAAAGGTCATGCCGCCGAAGAACTCAAGAGATGCCGTGGAAGCTAACGCCGTCGCATGGGCTGCTCCGCTTCTTGTGACCGATGATGATGGCACCGGTGACGTAGAGAAAGAGGATGGTGACGACGAGAACAATCATGATCACCGGCCATGAAGAGATTGTCGCACCGGTCATCTTCGTCATGAAGTCACTGCCGCCGATCTTATCACCGTGGATGGACTCACCGCTGGAAAAACTTGCGAGCTCCATTGCAACCGTTATTCTCTTCGACAGATAAAGGTCATGCTGCCAAAGAACTCAAGAGAAGCCGTGGAAGCTAAAGCCGTCGCATGGGCAGCCCTGCTTCTTGTGGCCGATGACGGTGGCCACGGTGACGTAGAGGAAGAGGAGGGTGGCGATGAACTCGGCGATCAGGGCTCTGTAGAAGGACCACGTCTTCAGCTCTGCCATGTCGATCAGCGGTGCCGGTGGTGGGTCGAGACATGCATTTATACATATAAATATATTTACATATACATCATGCAACACATCTCATGCAAACCCATTTTTTAAATGGGTATTGGGCCATAGCTTAAATTAAGTTGTAAGTCAAAATAAGTACTGACATATGCTTAATTAAGCACGTGAATGAACCTTGTTGTTTCATCTTGAAGGCTGGCTGTTTGGGAGCTCAATGCATATCTTTTTAGATATAGTTATGTACAACACGCAACCAATGCAGACATGGTTGGTCTGCTTCAACTAAACGTGGCCTCTTGTAAATATAAACATGTGCGAATATAAATATGCACATATATATATATATATATATATTTCTATTAGCTCTGTACAAAGCACAACCACTTTATTGTCAGAACAAATGGATTTGGAGCTCAACGTACATCTTTATCTGCAATTTAACTTGACAATACAAGAGAGAAACAAACCCCAAAACTATGTGCTCAATAACATGTCAACAGATACGGGTTGCACTCAAGTGAAGAAGACATTACCCTATGGCTTAAGGATGTATAATAAATCTCATTTGCTAACACGTTGATTTCCAATACCCGAATTTATTCTTTATATATCCTTGGATTTTTAAGCTAACCTGTTTTTAGGCGGCTCCAAGTACATTCATAATCCTGTGGCGTTTTCATTGGGTACAGTATTTCACCAGCTAAGCCTAGCTAATTGCTCTATATATATAACGCTTGCCTCTACCAAGCATTGTCAACACCATATCCAACAAAACCCTCTGTAGCTTCGCCACAAAAATTGCAGAACATCTCTGTGAAATTTGCCTGATAGTTGCATGTTTTTTTCAAATTAAAAAAAAAAAACTGCACAGCAGAATGTTAGCTCGTCTTGTCCCACAATCAAGAAACATATCCAGCGCACTTTAAAGACCATTTCTTCTTAATAAAGCTTCATCGTAGAGAACACAGCTTTATTTTCTGTCCTTCAGAATCTCGGCAATGGGTGGTAATAAAAATGTAACGATCGTTGCTGAGAATACGTCAATTTCGGCTAGTAACAAATCTTCCAGTCAAGCCGGGATTGTTCAAAAACTCGTCAACGAGATCATCGCTACAGATATTTTCAGCACTAGTGAAGTGTTAGCCAGTGTCTTAGGTGCTGATTCCTTACCTAGAATCGGCCTTGCTCCAGCCTTCAGAGATAGTCCACCAACCTCACTTCTCCCCTACTATCCCTTAGCTGAGGAGCAACTCCCATTTCAGCGCGAGTTCTCTAATCTTGTGGATTCTTCCTACCTTTTCAAAAATTGCCCGATCCCTCAAAGTGAGTGGATTGATTGGGTCGATCGGGTCGAACCTCACTACGGAGCATTATGGAAGGAGGTCGGCATTTATGATGCCATCATTCTTTCAAAAAATCGAATCTCTATCGATAAGGAGGCTCTCGTCTCATTACTCTTTTTCTGGTCGAGTTCCACCAATGCCTTCCATCTTCGGTGTGGTATGATTGGTCCGACGGTGCAAGATATCTGTTTTCTTACCGGGCTTAGGCCCCATGGTACGGAAATAAATTCACTTCTCACCGTTCCTGAAGTAGCTTATGAATATCCAAAGAAACCTGACGCTTCTGAGCGCATTACTACCCATGGCCCTTTTATTAAAGCCAGTAAAGGTAAAGGAACTTCGGTTTCCATCGCCGAGCATATTTCTTTCTTGGTGTACTGGCTGAACAGGTTTTTATTTTGCGTTTCTTCGCTCACAGTCACTAAGGAATTTACTCAATTGGCCCTTGCTTTTCACTCGGGCGAGAAACTTGCTCTCGCTCCTTTTTTGCTTTCTTATCTTTACCGTGGCATCGGGGAATATGTTGCTTCCAACTTCAAAACCTGTTTTGGGCCATTCTGGCTGTTACAACTTTGGGAATACGTATATTTCCCTGAACTTTACCCCGATCTCGACTTGTCGACCGCTGTTCCTTTTCCCGGCTGTCATTATGCACGTATTCAACCAGGAAAAAGATCGTTCAAAACCATGTTCTCCTTCTTTTACAAACTCCCTGCATACCGGGCCAGTCATCTTTTCTTGCCATTCTCGCCTAGACCGAGGCGACCTTTGTGGCTTTCCTATCCCCCTGCCCAGGCTCCACCGAGTTGCCAAGACGAACATACACAAACCTGGGCCAGTTTCTTGATTGCTAGGGACATCTCTTATGGATGTTCAAGAATGGGCTCCCCGAATAGTAAGTGTGGGGTAGAGTATTACAATCCCCCACAATTTGCTAGACAATTTGGTCTTACCCAACTCATTCCACTTCCGCCTTTTCGATCTTTCAATACTTCTTTCTTGGAACGAGTAGTCTTCACCTCAAAAGAAACGGTGGATAGAGTATCCTCCCGGTTTAATCGTCTCTGTAACAACTTCTCTTTGCAGCCATTTTTGGAAAATCCTGATACTTCTCCATCCTTTGACTACTGGTGGGGAAACCATATTGCGGAGGTTATGGTGGAGGATTCTCGCACTATAACAAATATGATTGCCTCAATTTTTATTAAACCCCAAGGAGCCTCGACCAAGCCATCAAAAGGGATCAGTGTGGCTAATCCTGGTTCTCCCAACAGGATGAAAAAATCAAAGTCGTCCAAAGAAGGTACACACTCATACTTACATATATATAAATACCAAGTTCTATGCCTTAGATCATAAAAACATCTTTTCCTTTATGCAGCTGTTGACTTCTATGACCCATTGGGAGTTTCTGATCATGAGGCGGAAATGCCTGAGGCTGACGAGGAAAACGTGGTGCCCCCCAAGAGGCCTAAGGTTTTCCTTATGAATTTTTCAAAGCATAATCTCTTAGAACTTTAGCTTACTTGTATGTACCACCTATATACCCCTTTTTTAACCTCAACGGTATTCCATGTGATCAGGGCAGGGAAAGGAAAAAAAACAGGTTACCTCAGTCAGGACCACCAACCCTTTACCTCTGATCGATGAAGAGGAGGAAGAAATTCCTGACCCCTTGATGCCATCGACTTTCTCAGTTGAGACAAATATCTCTACCAGCCGTGAGGTAACTAGGCTTTGTTTTTACTTCCAGTATCAATGTACCCTGCCGATTCTAATGGCATCTTTACGGACAGGTTTCCTAACACTCGGCTAGGTCGTTGTCAAGAGATAGGATCAATATTTGTGATGACATTCCGAATGCTGATCACCCTCGCGCTAGTGGAGTCGAGTGTCAACAAGCCACTACTCAACCAAACACTGTCTTTCATCAGTTTAATGGGGCTGAGGTGATTTTCAAGATGATCTTTCAGTACATCTCCCATATATCTTTATCAAAGTTAGGCATTCAAAAACATTCTTCTCTTGCAGGTTGCCCCGGGCACACAACCAAGAGTTCCAAGCCCTTACTCTGCACCAGCGTTTGTTACCAGACGCACCTTTGGCCACGTGACTCGGCCTTCACCAGTTGGTGTGAGTATTTATGACTTATTCTCTCATTCAAGCCTTGACTTGTTTTACTAAATTCCTTTCATTCACAGGCTGGCTTAAATTCTCAGTCCCAACCGCCCCTTCACACTTATAGCATGATCAATGACTTTGATGCCTACTTTTCTGAGATAGCGGCTGGGTTTGATCTAGATTCCTTGATGAGTGAGCCAGTTGTTGTGCCTACGTCTTCCAGTCGTCTGCCAGATATTGAGGGGGCAAAAAGATTACTAGTCGCCGTCGTGTCCCGAGACCTCTCTGAGATGCCAAGTTTGGCTGCTGATGTGACTGATGCCATATCCGTCTTGATAGATCATCATGACTTAAGTCAAGAACAGATAAACCATCTTCAATCTGTCCAGAGTCGATTCCCGACTCTCGTCTCTGATTTTCAGCTCTCCTCTCAGAAGGCTGGTGAGCTGTCGTCTACGATCCATGAAAAGCTGCAGGAGCAAAAATCTTTGATTCAACAAGAGAAAGACAATGTTTCCCATTTTCGGGCCTTAAAATTAACTCATGTTAAGGAAAACCAGAGAGCAGCAGAGATCGAACGGGAGATAGAACGTCTCAAGACGGAATTGACTGGAACTGCCCGGTCAAGAGAAGGACTCGCTATTCAGATGAAGGAGATTTATCAAAAGAATGTGGAAATTGATCAGCAGAGAGAATCGGTCCCAAAATAAATTCCTCGACTGAGGGCTGAGAAGGCCAAAGAGGATGAAAAAATGGCCATGTCTGAGAAAGAGTGGGATGAGCTCAGGAGTCATTTTGTTTATCTACAAAGAAAATGATAGGTAATGACTCTTATAAACTTTTGTACTTAATGAAAACAATGAATGAAATGCATGTCTCTATGGTTTCTGGTTATTTAACCATCTTTGGTTTTATTCTCCATTGTCTCCCACATTGTAGGATAATAAGTTTTTAAGTATCGGCCATTAATCGGTCGAGGGTGTATTTCCCCGTCAAGATCTTGCAAATGATATGCGCCTCCTTTTAAGACTTTGTACACCATAAATGGACCTTCCCAATTTGGTGACCATTTTCCATATTTTCGATCATTCACACCCATTGGGAGGACAGTCTTCCAAACCAAGTCACCTTCACCGAAGATTTTGGCCCTAACACGCTTGTTATATGCCCTTGCTACTCGCCTCTTCTGAACTTGTATGTGGTCAAGAGCCCTTAACCTTACTTCGTCTAGGTCCTCCAATTCGACCAACATAGACTCATTATATTCAGCAGGGGTCAAATTGTTTTGCAATGCAAATCTCATTGACCGCACAGTCACTTCCATAGGCAAAACTGCATCATGACCATAGGTTAGCATGAATGGAGTCACACCTGTGCTTGACCGTTGAGAAGTCCTATATGCCCAAAGTGCTTCTGATAACAGTTCATGCCACACCCTAGGGTTATCTTCCACCATTTTTTCAATGATGCCTTTTAGCGTCTTATTAAACGACTCGGCTTGACCATTTCCTTGTGCAAAGTGAGGGGTTGAGTTTAGGAGCTTGATCCCATACTCTGCTACAAATGCCTGCACTTCTTGGGCGACAAGGGCTGAACCTCAATCAGTTGTGATTGATTCTGGGATCCCAAATCTATGAATAACATGTTGTTTGATAAACCGAATCACATCTTCTTGGTGCACTGACTTCATGGGCACCGCTTCGACCCACTTGGTAAAGTAGTCAGTTGCCACAATGATAAAATAATGTTGTTTAGAAAAAGGTGGATAAACTTTCCCTATCAAATCCATAGCCCAGCCTCTAAAAGGCCATGGTTTTATGATTGGTTGTAATTCAATCGCCGGGGCTCTATGGATTGGCCCATGCCTTTGACACGCTTGACATCCTTTGGCGTATGTGATACAATCTTTAAGCATCCCGGGCCAGTAATAAGCGTACCTTCTAATCAGCCACTTCATTTTTATTCCAGCTTGGTGAGCACCACATATCCCTTCATGGGTCTCTCCCATTACTTTCATGGCTTCTTTCTTACTGACACACCTTAAGAGTAGGTCATCTTTGATGTTTTTCCTGAATAGGTCTCCATCAATCATCACAAACTTAAGAGCTTTGATCTTTAGCTTCTTGTCAGCCTTAGGGTCTGGATTTTTGAGAAAATCGATGATCGGTGTTCTCCAATCATTCTCTTCCATATCGTCTTCCACCTCGATTGCAAAGACCTCTGCCAATAATTCTTCCCTCGCCTTAACTGAGGGTAATGATCTTCTCTTTATTCTGATCAAATTCTCCATTATTCCTTCTAGCACCCTAACGCCAGATGCTATTTGAGCCAAATCATTGGCCTCTTTATTATGCAATCTATAAACATGCTTGACCTTTACCTCTGCAAATTCTTGTAGTAATTGCATGGCTATAGAATGGAATGGTTTGAGGTGCCAACTTTGGCACCTGAAATTGCTGGACAACTGACCGATTACCAGACTTAAATCACCTATGATTTCAACGGTCTGTGTCCCCATCTCTAAGAGTATTTCAAGACCAATAATCAGAGCTTCATATTCTGCTTGATTGTTAGAACATTTGAAATCTAGAAAGAAAGAATATGTTGTTTTCCTACCATTTGGTGCAATTATTACAACTCCAACTCCCCCGACATCATTTGCGCTGGATCCGTCAAAAATTAGAATCCAAGGAGTTAGTTGAATAGCACACAACTCCATTGCATCATAGACTCCCGGATCAACATCCAAGCATGGATGGTCAGCTAGGAAATCAGCAAGTGCTTGGCCCTTCACGGCCCTTTAAGGCACATATTGGAAACTGAATTCCATAAGGGCCAAAGACCACTTGCCTATTCGTCCAGAAATTATTGGACGAGAAAGCATATACTTAATTAAGTCAGTGGCACAAATCACATAAACTAAAATAGGTAGCATATATATTCTCAATTTGTGAGCAGCAAAATACAAAGCAAGACACATTTTTTCGATTGGCGTATATCGACGCTCAACCGGTGTCAAAATACGACTAAGGTAATACACCGCCTGTTTTTTCCCTACTTCATTATCCTGGGCTAACAAACTTCCGATTGACTCATCCGCGGCTGAAATATATAACTTCAGTGGCTGTTTCTTCCTAGGTGGCATAAGGACAGGAGGGTTAGCAAGATATTCCTTGATTGATTCAAACACATGTTGGTGATGCTTTTCCCATCGAAAGTCTTCCTCTGATTTGAGCTTTAAGAGCAGAGAAAAGGTATGGATCTTTCCAGCACGGTTTGAAATAAACCTTCCCAAGTATGTGATTTGACCAATCAGTCTTTGCAACTCCTTCTTGTTGCGAGGTGGTTGAGCGTCGATGATCACCCTAGCTTTATTCTTGTCGATCTCGATACCCCTCCGATGCACCAAGAACCCTAGAAAGTTCCCTGCTGTCACTCCAAAGGCGCATTTAAGTGGGTTCATCTTCAAACCATGGGTTCTCATTCTCTCAAATGATCTCCTCAAGTCGGCCAGATGTTTCGCCTTTGTCGCTGATTTCACCACGACGTCGTCAATGTATACTTCCATAAATTTCCCAATCATGTCATGGAAGATTGCATTCATTGCTTGTTGATAAGTGGCACCGGCATTCTTCAAACCAAAGGGCATCACCACCCATTCGAAAGTGCCTATGGCTCCCGGACATCTAAATGCCGTTTTGTTAACATCATCCTCTGCTATGAATATCTGGTTGTATCCTGAGTGACCGTCCATGAATGACAGAATCTCATTCTTGGCGGCCGCATCAATCAATTGATCGGCCATGGGCATAGGATACTCATCTTTTGGAGTAGCTAAATTTAAATTCCTGAAATCTACGCACACCCTAATCTTTCCATTCTTCTTAACCACGGGAACGATATTGGATAGCCAGTCACAATACCTTGTGGTCCGGATGAATCCTGCTTTGAGCAACCTCTCAATTTCCTCCTTCACTTTCATAGTCACTTCTGTTGACATACGTCTAGGCGCTTGCTTGAACGGTCTAAAACCTTCTTTTATAGGTAGTCGATGCTCGACTAACTGCCTTGGTAATCCCGGCATCTCAGTGTAATTCCAAGCAAAACAATCCTTATATTCTCTAAGCAACAAGATCAGTTCAGCTTTAAAGTCAGGTTCTAGAAGATCACTTATGTAGGTTGGCCGAGGCTCTTCTTCTGCTCCCAAATTGATCTCCAACAAGGGATCCTGAACATCGGCTTTCAAATCCTCTAGCTTAGCTGGAGCTGCATCTAGCTCTTCTAGCTGAATAACATCTCGACAATCCCCTGACTCACCTTCTTCTATGATTTCGGCCATATTGGTCGACATATCACTCCACAACATTGCCCGTCTTTCGGCGAGATATGCTCTCAGCCGTGTCATGCTAACTTTAAATGCTAGCATTTTCTCCTTCTCCTTTTGGGCTTGGTCCATTAACAACCTGTTGTTCATCAACTTCAACTATCGGCCTTGGATCGCAGACAACACTTGGCCTCGATAGTTCCTTGAATAAATCGGATGAGTCCCCGTCTGTCAGATTTTTCCTCATCGTCACCTTCTCAGGCTTGTCATACTTATCACAACCAATAAGCCTCACAGGACCCATTTCTTCCTCATATAAAACTGCATCGGCCACATGGACCCAAGCTTCGAAAGGCTTATTGTCTCCCCATATGACTTGGATTTCATCCCCATCCCAGAAAATCATAAACTGGTGGAGGGTAGAAGGGATGCAGAAATGTGGGTGTAACCAATCACGCCCAATCAAAGCGTTGTAAGCCGCCCCTGCGTCGACCACGAAGAATGCAGTTATGGTCTTACATTTTCCAACTGTCATTTCCAAGGTGACTACCCCTCTGGTCCTGGCTCTGCCCCCCGTGAAATTACTGACTGTCAAGTCAGTGGGAATCAAGTCATCTTCCGTTTTTTGTAGCAACCTCATGGTGTTCATCGGAAGGATATTAACCGCAGATCCATTATCTATCAGTGCCTGAGACACTGGCATCCCTTCCAGGATTACTCTGATATAGAGTGGTTTCAAGTGTTGAGACATTGCCGCAGAAGGCTTCTCAAAAATCACCCTAGCCGCCTGATCTCTCCCAATAGTCACTGACTCATCATCTCGTAGTTTAGCTCTTATCACAGCGACTTTCTGTTTCTTATCTTCAGAGATCAACTCAGATGGGTTCTCAATAATCTCCGGAACTTCCTGACCTTCGTCATCGATCACCTCGACGTCTCCTTCCATAGCAGAGGGTTGATCAGGTTTAGCCTCAAAAATATGAGGCAAGGTAAGAACCATATTGCAATTAACAATTCCTTCAAATGAACCAAATTTGATACCCTTTGAACCATCATCCTAGTCATCCAGGTCGAGTTCGTCATCACCAAATCCTGCTTCATCTTCAGCTTCTTTCATGGAGGAAGACGCACATTTCTCTTCAGTGCATCCATTTCCGTCTGCACTATCTTCCTTGGATTTTCCTTTCGGATCACTTTTTGAATCTTGCTTGATAGGTTCTCTCCTAAGCAAAGTCACCTTCCCTGGCTGTGAAGCTGAATATTTTTCTTCTATTCTCTTTAACTCAGTTTTCATCCGTTGCCACCGTCTTACTTGAGTGCGAGTCATGAATGCTGGCGGGATATCCCTGACCCTAGAGAACTTTGGATGACTCACCCTTAACCATCGACCGTCGTCAGTGACTGGTGGCTTGACCATCCTTTGCCTATGGTTTGGGTGGTTAACTGATGTCTCAGCCTGGCGAGCCACATTTGAGTTATGCTCCCTCGGCTTCCAGACAGCATGAGTAAGATTCCTTGACCGACTGTTGGAGTTCACTTCTCGCCTTCGCTTGTGATGCTCATTGGTATTAGACCTTCTATCAGGCCATGTTAATCGACTTGTCATAGGCACCCTAGACGAGGGTGACCTAGGTCTGTTTTCATGACGTGAACTTCCAGGACGTCCTCGAGTGTTGCTATGGAACCTCTCTCGGTCCCTTCCAGTGTCTGTCTTGCATTTAGGGCATAATCCTTGCTTGATCAGCGCCAGTTGAGCCTCCCGCAACTCCTTTTCTAAGTTATCCTTAGACCTTGGAGTCTCCTTAACCATTGGTTTCTTTCCTTCAGCCTTGCTTTCTCTGTTAGCTGAAGTATCCTCAAAATCAATTCTTCTCCGTGGCCTGCTGGCCATTGAGATTTCGACCATGTTATTGCTGACCAAGGTTGGGAATGGATCACTGTCAACGCTCATCACCTCTTTTTTCTTCTCTGGGAACTTCCATGCCCCCTTCTCGATCTGTGCCTGAATCACATTACGAAAAACAACACAATTATTAGTTGCGTGATTCCAGGAGTTATGATATTTGCAACATTCTCGACCCTTGATTTCATCAGCTGAAGGTATTTTATGTACCCCAGTGACTTTGATAATTTTATCAGACAACAGGTGGTCAAAGATTTGCTCTGCTTTACTTATATCGAAAACATATTGTTTGCCAGCCTCAAAGATATTCCTTTTGGCTGAAGATGATGAGGGTTGAACACCGCTAACAGTCTCTAAGGGCTTAGCTAAAGCTTTACATACATATGGTTTTTTTGAAATAATTTCAACAGCATCGACCTCTAGGTCATCATATACTGTATCAACCATGTGTATTTCATAATTAGGGTCCTTATAATAGGTCCCACGAGAGGAGTTTTTCCTCTCGTTTTCCTCTCGTAAGATTTTTTCATACTTGGTAACCCTATCGGCTAATTGGAACAAATCTCCAAAATGAGTACCCTCGAACTTCTTTCGTAATTCAAAGTCTAAACCGCTAAGGGCCAAGTTGACAAACTCTTCTTCAGGCAAAGTAAGTTGGCACCTATTTCGTGCTTTCTTAAACCTAGCCAAAAATGCCTCAACATCCTCATTTGGTAACTGATGGATCCTAGATAGGTCAGACATAGAGACTTCTGGTTCTGTCCTATAGAACTGATCATGGAACACATCTTGCATCTATTGCCAAGTGTGGATGGAATTTTGTGGCAAGTTTAGATACCACTTGAAGGCAGTCTCAGTGAGAGTGTTAGAGAATAACTTCATTTTATACCAATCATTGTTGCTAAGCGGCCCACATTTTAATGTGAAACGTCCAATATGCTCAAGAGTCGATTGGTTGCCTTCTCCTGAGAAGGTTGCAAAGTTTGGCACCCAAAAATTTTGGGGAAGATCCATCCGATCTATCCAGTCAGGAAATGGGTGCCTAAAAGTAGGTCGAGTAGCCCTTTTTAAAGCTGGTCCATACTGTTCTTGTATAACCTCAGCCAATTGCTCCCTAGTCATAACCATAGGTGGGACTTGGTTCTGAAAAGGGACATTGGGCCAAGGGTTATGTCCCTCTTGCCCCCCTGGGTTCGCAGCCTGAGGTGGCAAGACTTGAGGTTGGAAATGAAGAGGTCGACCATTAGGTTGGTCATGATTCCTCCATCTTGGTTGTTGGTGACCATTCACTCCTGGCTCTACTTGATGGACTTGTGGTGGAATTAGAGCTACTGGTCGAGGACCATTAACCATGGGAGGTGGTTGGGCACCTCTTTCTGGTTGACCAACTTGCTGAGGAGGAAACTGGTCCACTGGTCTATCATTTTGGTTTTCCAACCTAGGCGTCTGAACAATGACCTGCCTATCAATATGAGTCACTAAGGCATTAATCACTTCATTCAGCTGTTGGAGCTGAGTATTAGTCATATGGGATGAAGCCACCAGTGGCTCCATATTCTTGTTGATTTCCCAAGCGACTTGGCGTTGGGAAGCCTCCACTCGACTTTCAAATCGTGTCACCATATTGCTGACACTTTCGGCCGCCATTTGGTGGCTGGCCTGATGTCCCTCCTCATGCTCAGACCCGGAGTCTTGCATTATGGGAGCAGGCTGATTTTCTTCCTGATCTTCCCTTTGAGGGTTAGCTTGTCCAGCTGAAGTTTGAGTCTGTGACCTAGTCTCGACGACCATTCACGAATAGAACACTGGTCCCACCGGGCGTGCCAAAGTTGTTTGGCTCACAAAGTGGTCTGAGGTCGCTAGCCAATGAACGGCTGACCTCAAACGCGGGCGTGCCAGAGTCCTGATGGACTCGAATATTTCTTGCCAAACTATTCCTATCGGGTCGGGTCACCGACCTAAGGTGATTCAGGCGAAAGTTAGAGAGTAGGAATGACCCTCTCCTTAAGGTTGCTATTGCCTTTAAGAAAGGACTTTAAACAGTCAAGATAAACATGAATTAGAAGCAACTTAAATGGACAATAAATATACCTGAATCTGCAAACCTTTCTTCATTGAACTTGACTGATTACAATGATGAATGAATTACAAACTCTTGATTGAGATGGAAACTAAAGCATTAAATGCTGGAAGATGAACTAAGTACTAAACTGATAATGTTAAGCTAAACTTGCTGAAATAAAAGCTAAGTGCTAAACTGAGCTTGATGAAATAAAAGCTAAGTGCTAAATGATAGGAAAGCTAAAGGTTGAACTTTAGAAATGGTCTTGGACCTTTACCTTGTGATGCTTGAGTGGGTATTTATAGAGGCTTCCACCTGGTGTTGTCCCTTTCAACCGTTTCTCTAGAAATTGATTGGTTGTAAGCTGAAAGTGACTTTTCCTAACCACCAGTTGGAAAGGTTGACTAATTTGCACATCCCTCTATAGGCAGATACAAGTATGTCTGACATAGTATTTTTAACTAAATGGTGCCTATTCTTTCATGCTTGATGATTTTGGTCTTCAAGCCATTTTCAGCTCTCTGCACCTATCATGTCTGGCTTGATTTGTACATTAGCCTGGAGTCATCTGATTACTGACAATCCTGACTTTCCTCATCAGATGTTGGTGAGAACCTTCCATCTGTGGTTCTGAACTTCTGACATTGTCAAGTTGTCCTTTTCTATTTCAAGCTTTCCTTAAACTTCTAGACCTGACTTGTTGGGTTCTTGAAACATTGGGATTCACAATCGGTCTTTATTTGAATTACCCCAAAGATTCCTCAAGTGATTATGACCCGAGACCCCTGATCATGACCATATTTGGTCATAAGTCTTGATCATGGCCATAGTGACTAGAAATCTTGGTTAAGATTCATAATCATGACCATTATGACTGAGGGTCTCCTGACCATGACCGTTGTGATTGAGAAAGTTGTGACTGAGAGTATTTTGGCCTAAAACTTATGATCATGACCATTGAGACTTGGAGTCATCACCATAGTGATCGAGAAGGGTTTTGGCCTAAAACTCATGATCATGACCATAGTGACTGAGAAGGTTTTGGCCTAAGACTGATCGTGACCATTGAGACTGGGAGTCATAACCATAGTGACCGAGAAGATTTTGGCCTAAAACTTACGACCATGAGACTGAGACTCTCATGACCAAGATGACTGAGAAGGTTTTGGCCTAAGACTCATGATCATGACCATTGAGACTGGGAGTCATAGCCATAGTGACTGAGAAGATTTTGGCCTAAAACTTACGACCATGAGACTGAGACTCTCATAACCAAGATGACTGAGAAGGTTTTGGCCTAAGAATCATGATCATGACCATTGAGACTGGGAGTCATAGCCATAGTGACTGAGAAGATTTTGGCCTAAAACTTACGACCATGAGACTGAGACTCTCATGACCAAGATGACTGAGAAGGTTTTGGCCTAAGACTCATGATCATGACCATTGAGACTGGGAGTCATAACCATAGTGACTGAGACTCTCAATCATGGCCGGCTATGAGCTCAAAACCTCATATCAGTCTTAATGGCCTAAAAATTCCACTCTTCTTCATTCTCAGCCTTAAATCGGATCGCCATGATTAGAAATTAATCTTTCGCCCTGATGACCATGGGTCGACCCAAAGTTCAGACTTCATGATTTCTGACCACGTGGCATGATTGCTTCGAATTATATTTTAGGTGTTAACAGGAAGATGAATGTCATGTGATGGAGATTGAAAGGCCAAATAATAAACCAAACAAGAGTGTTCATCACGTCACATCCGTTTATGACTCTAAAACATTAGAAAATGTTGAATCGTTGAGAACATTATTTGTGAAAGCATTTTCTCGTGACTTTATGAAATTTAGTACCTTACGAGTTCTAGATGCAAGTGACGCATCTATAGTTGAGCTTCCATCTTCAATTGGCAATTTAATTCATTTAAGGTACTTGAATCTCTCTGAGAATTATGAGTTGGCGACACTTCCCAAGTCATTATGCAACCTATTAAATTTGCAGACCTTAGACCTTAATGATTGTTGGAGACTTCGGAGCTTACCCAACCACATGAGACGCATGATCAATCTCCGACATCTATTTATGGAAGGCTGTGATGATCTAACAGAAATGGCTCCAGAGATCGGGCAGTTAACCAACCTCAAGTCATTAAGTGTTTTCATTGTGGATGGGAGGAGAGGTAATCAATTGGGTGGGCTGCAAGGGTTAAACCTGGGAGGAAAATTATATATTAAGCATCTGGAGAGGGTGGAGAATTGGGAGGAAGCAAGAGAAGCAGCAAACTTAGCCCAGAAGAAAAACCTATACAGCTTGGGTTTGGGTTGGGGAAGGGAATCAGAGTCGTCATTACCAGAAAATGCTGAACGGGTACTAGATACTCTTAAACCTCACCCAAATCTTAAAGAGTTGATCATACAAGATTATCCAGGTACCTCTTTCCCACGCTGGATGAGTGATCTAGAACTGCTTCAAAATTTAGTTAGAGTTTCACTTAATGGTTGCAAAAATTGTCAGAGTGTTCCACCATATAGTCGATTGCATTGGTTGAAACATCTTGAGATTTCTGGCATGCCATGTTTGGAAAGGTTGTCCAGAGAGGAAGAAAAAGATGTATTCCCTTGTCTTTCCCGATTGATTATTGGTGATTGCCCTAAGTTGACATTAATGTCATGCCTTCCGTCACTCAAAGATTTACAAGTAAATGGATGCAGTGATGTCTTATTGAGTTCGATCTCAAACCTCAGTGCTCTTAAGTCACTAAAGATCTGGCGTTGTGATGAGATTGAGTCATTACCAGAACAAGGATTACAAGGCCTCAACTCTCTCCGTTCTTTAGAGGTTTTTGACTGTAGAAAGTTGAAGTCCTTGTCTAAGGGACTGCAACACCTCAAAGCCCTTGACAGTTTGAGTCTTTTTGGAAGCCACGAGCTCGTTTCTCTGCCGGAGGGTATTAAACACCTCCATTCCCTTAGATATCTAAGAATTTTAGGTAATCGCAAGTTGGTGGTTTTGCCGGAGGCCTTATAGCATGTCCCTGCACTGCAAGCTCTATCGATCGACTATTGTGGAGAGCTAACATCGTTGCCTGACTGGTTGGGAAATCTTGCATCTCTTCGATGGTTGTCAATTGGGAATTGCCCTCAGGTTGAGTCACTTCCAGACAGCATTCAAAGCCTAACCAATCTCACAACTTTGTCAATTAAATATTGTGGTGAACAACTCAAAAGGAGATGTGAGAAGGGAAGCGGGGAGGATTGGTATAAGATACAACACATACCAGATGTTCGTATAAATGATGTTCGTATAAATGATGTTCGTATAAATGTGTGAGAGATGGCACATTATAAACTGTTGCGGTGGGCCTGTGGCTACTTCATGTTACAAAAGGTAACTACTTCTCAATATTAAAAATATATCTATAGATATTTGTGTTCTAATGTTTCTCAAATACAACGCCGCTACCAGGTCAATTTTGCTTACATTGTGTTTCAACAAGCCCGGGATTATCTCACTTTTTCACACTAATGAGCAAAAACAAAAGTGCAGAAATTCAAAAACAATTCTTACAATATGTTGTCATGTTTCTTGATAATGTCATCTCCTTTTGTCTCAATATTTTTATTATGCATATTGATCAACAATATCAAACAAGGAATGGTTATGCATGTGGCTAATAAATTATTACAGATACCACACAACTTGCTCTCGGTTATTTTTTTTTTTTTTTTTTTAAGTACTAATAGTTTGAACATTTGGTTGTAGATGACAGCATATTAACAATAAGAATAAGGATTTGTGACTTATGACATTTCTCCACGTACATTTTAGAGTTATGTAATTTGGATTTTTTCTTATTAAAAACTTTTCACTAGGCATTGCTCTGCGTTGGATAACTCTGAAAACAGTGCACAACTGCAATTTCTTAAGATTTTATATATTTGTTTGGTATTATGAACTCTTCCTTCTTCTTTTTTTGTCCTAATGTTTCTCAAATACAACCTGAATCTATTAATAGTCAATATATGTTTGTAGGAACTTAGCAGCAAGATGAACGGGACGGTCCTCCTTCATTGTGCATTTTTGATGTATGTAATTTCCAAAATCTTCTCTTTGTTAATTTTTCTATAATTAATGTTGGCCATATATATATTGGAAATTGGACGTGGACCGTTACGTTGTTTCTTTGAAAAAAATGCGTCTATGTATAATAGTGAATTTAGATATTCAACCTGAATCTATTATTCAAATTCTCTAACTTGCTCTAATACGTGCAGCAAATTTCTGAAAAACCAAATTTTTAATTGTTATTTAATCAACTTGATTTTAACTACTTTGTTTCAATTTTCAGATAATCCATTAAAAATGTACTCCAGATTCATCTATCCAATTTGGCAAAAAAACACATTTTAGTACTCTTTCAGGTCAATTTAAGTCCCATTTTGGTTGCACCGATATGGATACACATGCCTCATTCAATGAAACTTGTTTTTTGTAAAATTTTGCTTGCTTTTTGAGCTCTAAAATTTTTGTTGTAGTGAACTTATACCTTGAAAGTATTCACTATGACGTTTTGTTCCTGACAGGAGATTAGCACAGAGGTAATCCAATAAGTGTCAACTGATTCAAGAAGGCCAGGGATTCAGCACTTTGAAATGTATTGATTTGCTATTATTAACTTTATTCTTTATTTTTACTATTAATTTTTTTTTTTTTATTTTTATTTCTTATTTTTGATTTGCTATTTATTTTGATATTGTGTTGTTGCCAGGAGATGAACAAATAGGTGACCAGGATACTTGAAGAGTACTTTATGACACCTAGAAAAGATATTGTGGTTGCAATTTGAAGTGTTTGGCTTGGGATTTCAAGTGTTCTCAATTTATCTGATGCTGTTATTTGATTAGACAAGATGAAGCAAATTCTTTGCTTGAGATAGAATTATTCTTTCTTATGTAAAATTATCCAAAAAATATCACAATTTAGTCAAGAGAATGTGTCTACACCTGCATTGTGTATTGTTCGATAATCTGTTGTGTTTTATTTTTTTGGTAGGTAAGCTGAGATTTTAATTAAAAGAAACCTAATAAAAAACCAGACTAAAATTAAAAAAATAAGCACCATGGAAAGAAAGAAAAGATGAAGAAAATAGGTTAATAGCTAAATAGAGTTACAGAAAGCCATATGTCTACAACAATATAAGCAGCAACATTAAACTCATGCAAGATGATAATATGAAAGCAAGGCCTCAAGTACAACAATATGTCTACAACAATATACATATAATTACTATCATGAAATTAAACATAAATCCTGATTCCAAAATAAATCTTTCAATAAATTATTGATAATTATTGTAAATAAAATATAAACATAATAACTGAAACAAAGGTGACAGAAAAGACGACAACAATATAAATTTACGCACTATAAACTTGAAGTACTGAAATGAATTCTCAAAATGGTACATTGAATAATTTAGTCTAGGGTGGGTTTATGTCCGTCTCTGCAGAAACTGAACTTTTATAGTATGTGGATCCAATTCATTGCCGAACCAAACCCATGGATATATATATGCAATGGTTGATGACTGAAAGCCACGATCACGCGCTCCATTTGAGCTATTAATCTCTATTGTTACACGCTCACGAACCAAATTCTGGTCACACTAGTGTTACGGGCTTAGAGTTTCAACACCACTCTAACTGCTCCCGTACGGCACTAAGACGTTACTTCCACTCTCGCAAGTACTTGGTCAGCCTAACTCCCGTGCACACCTTAGCCAACACACTCCCCTCGTGCGCTTACTAGTGTTGTAGTTGCCCTCGCCCTCTCCTCACTTGGCTTGCACACTCACACACACTAAGGCACTTAAGTTGGCAAGGAAAGAACACTTCTATTACTTCAAAGAATGTTTTGTACAAGGCTAACACTCAAGCTCTCTACAAGGCTCTCAAGACTCATTCCAGGACTTGTTCCCTACAAAATGAAGTCCTACCTCTATTTATAGGCATCCCCATCCCTAATGGACGGCTAGGATGCATTCTAACCAACGGTGGAGATTGATTATCTAGAATCTTTTCCCACCTTCTTCACACTTCCATACTTATCTACTAGTATCTACAACATTCTAGAATTCTCCATACTACTCCACAAAACTCTGGAGAACTCTAGAACCTTCCACACACTTCTACACATTTCTACACATATCTAGAATCTTCCACATAACTCTAGACTATTCCGGAAGACTCTAGAAACTCCACTTGCCATGCAGTTGCCATGCAGCGTCCTCCTCAGCGTCTGCGTGTCGCCTGCGTGGCACAACCTCCATAGGCGGGGCGTGACACTAGGCAACCTTTGAAACCTTTTCTTAGGAAAGTTTCATCCAGATTCCGTCCTATAAAGACGAGCTTGTTTATCTTCCTCTCATCGGGTCCCCATGTCTTGCCTGGGCAGCCATCCAAAGTGGAATGCACCCCCTAGAAAAACAGATGAACAAGAATTAGAGACAAAGAGAACATATGAGATTAACTTATACTCAATTCACTAGAGTCGCAAACAGTAATTAAGGTGGTGAGCACTTAGGTGACCTGAAAAACATAACGCTCGTGTGAATCCTTCACAGACAAAACTCCTTTCATCCTGTACAGGTCTTCCCCCTTTTCTTCAAGCAGTCTTTCAAGCCAATCATCAAGTTGAAGCATCATCTAAAACCAGAAAATAAGTTGCAGGCAGTGGGATCTAAATATGGAAAATGCAAATCCACAAAAATGCCAAAGTAGAAATTATCAAGGAAACAAAATTTATGGAAATGGTCCAACCGTTCTCCAGTAACAAGAGAACAATTTATATGCAGACGGCAGCATCATAACAGGATGTGAGACAAGAGTTCAGAATTTGTATATGTACATCAGTATCAATTTTGGGGGCTTAATTTTGGTTTTAGGGGGAATTTAAAATTGAAAATCAAAGACTATGTACAGAAAGGGTAGAAGCTAAAGATTACATAAATGGTATAAAAAAAATTACATTACCTACCCATTTTACCATTTTTGCCACATCAGTTAAGGGTCCATCACTGGACACTTTTCAGTGAGAAGCGAATGAAGAGGATTTTTTTTCCGTGGGGAGGAAGGTTTGTTGGGAGGGTACTGACTATCTTTATGATTATAAAGATTTTTCTTTTCTATTATTCTTATATGGCCAAAGGATTATTCAGATTCACAAAGATTTTTCTTTTCTATTATTATTATATGGCCAAAGGATTATTCAGATTCACAGTGAACATTAGACTCAAAACAGTCGAATCAAATTTTAGTGTTGTTCCTATCAAAAAAATTTATTTATTATAATTATTGCAACGATGATATGTAATCATTGACAAAAATTTTATTAAAGTAAAGTGAATTTATAATATAATAAAAAATTAATATATGTACTTTAGTGAAATGTTTGTAATAGTCAATTACACCGCATCATGATGCAACGATTATAATGAATTTCGAGTTGACTTATTTGTTTATAAGCTAAGTTCGATTAAAGGTCATGCATGATAAGATAAAATAAAAAAATAAAAAAAAAAAAAAAAATTGAATTTAGCATTTTGATAATTAAGTGAATACATAGTGTTATTTAAAGACTAGAGTAATGCTTAGAGGAGAGTTCTCTACTTTGATCAATTAATTTAAAGATGTGTTAATATTAAAAAATTGTCTAAAAGTTTTATTAAGACCTTATTACTCTTGTCTAAAAGCAACTAGTTCAAATTAAACGAGTCAACTTATAAAATAATTAATTTCTAAAATAATGAATAGAATATTCATCAACTAAAGAGCCGATTTTGTTTGATATATATTTTTTAAATTAAGTAAGATAAATTTGAAAATAAAAAAATATTTTATGAAAACACGTGGCTTACGAGTAGGAAAAAAGTAAATTAAACATAGTTGATAAGCTTATGTTCAAAAATATGTACGAGTTTATATTCATGAACACACATACGAATCATATGATTGAGTTTATATTCATTAAAGTATACGAGTATGCATGAGCTTATGTTCACGACTCTACACAAATTGAGTAAAAATTAAACTCGAATTAGGTTAATTTGTTTAATGAATGACCCAAGGTAACACTCCTATGTATATATATCTAATATACAATATATACATATATGTATATAAATATGTGTGTGTGCGCGCGCGCTCGTGTATATTCGACATTCGACAGGAGAAATTATTTATTACAAAGGTTGTAAAGATCATTGGTATAATCAATCAATACAAAAATTCTACTAAAACAAATGATCCTTCAAAAAATTAGTAAATTGTGATGAATTCAACTATTTTATTTAGAACAGTATTTGATGCAACCGTTGTAATTAATAATTATTTAATAAATTGTGATGAATTCAACTATTTTATTTCATAATAGAATTTGATGCAACAGTTGTAACTAATAATTTCTGATTGTGACACGGGGCAAGTCAGATGGGTGGATCTAAACAAAGAAAATGGTTGGGCTTTTTTGGGTGGCTTGACGAGCCTATTTATCCAGCCCGGCTTTAAAGCCTGAGCTAAGTTACATCCCATCCACTTGACTTATTGTTTAAACTAGGTCCAGTGATTCAAACTCGTGTCTTGACTCGGCCATCAACTTACTGATCCAGTCTGGATTCAAGTCCTTTTATTTTTATTTTTATTTATTTATTTATTATTATTATTATTACCATTTTTCCTCTCAAAATCTTGCTTAAATACATTTAAGCTACGTTTGAGACTATCCAATTGGCACATTAGAATTAAGGATTTAGTTTGTGTTCAAACTAAATTTTCTTCAATTTATATTCTTAAGACATTAATTCAATAATTTCAAGTGCAACAATTGTTTTCTTACTAGAATTATGAGAATATTTTGTTAGGAATAATTGAAGTTTGAAAGGCAAATGGGGAGGTAAACTTCATATGCGTCTAACTACTCGTAAATTATACATATCATTTAAACTCAAATATTTTTACATCATGTAAAAATCAAACCAAAACGCCCATCTCGCTTTTTATCAACTCAAAAGATGGTAAGTCAAAGGGTTTTATTTATTATTATTATAATGATACACGAGGATCAAGTTGAAACCATAGACTGGTATGCCAATATATTAGTTCAAAGATATGAACTATAGAGATTAATATAGTAAGTAATTACAGAATAACTTTAGAATCAGATAAAAGTTTATATTTTCTTTTAATAAGACAATGTCTGCATATATGAGTGTGTTTTATAAATGTTTATATAGTAGTTTTAAATCCCTCAAACTGCAGATTGTACACTTTATAATTTGTAATTGAACATTTTCAATTTGTTGAATACTTGTAGTCAATTTTAATTTTCTCTCCAAAAAGTTTTGATTTATTCTTTAAGATAGTTATATAATTTTTATTTTAAAACATTTGAATAATTTATTTTAACTTTTGTTTAAAGCCATTATTAACTTTCCTGTTAACAAGAAAATGGAATGGTTAGGTGAATTACCAATTATCTTATTATAATTGCAAACTATTTAAAATTTTACTTTTTTCTTGTAATAAAATGATTATCAATTATATTTCGTAACGTAAAAACATAAAACCTAAAACATCCAAAGCGTGTAATACACTACTCATTTAAAAAAAAAAAATAGACTATTATTTGTTAAGTGAAAAGTTTGTATAGATAATTGAAGTTTTTTCTTTTTATTTTATAATTATATGTACATACCTAAAAAATACACAGTTTTACTAACCATGCTACCAAATAGGACTTAAGAGAGGCTCAATGATACTTGAACCAGACACAACTAGATCCATCACGGCCAAACAATAGCCCGTTGTGGCCCAAAACGAGAAGCCCATTGAGCATACCCAAACAACTAAAGACCTACAGCCAGGACCAATAAGCATAACCCTTGATCATGCCCTAATTGACCTAATCAAGATTAGTAAAGCACTCCAGTGGACAAGCAAAGCGTGATCACGATGGTGGCAGGTCTACATC